CCCCCTCCATTCCCCTCCACCCACACCCCAAGCCTCCCAGAGCTGTCACCGCCCCATGATCCAGCCCCATGATCCCAGCCTCACTCACCCCTCCCGCTCCTGAACACTTCTCCCCACCCATTTGCAGCCTCAGAAGGAGTTTTGGTGAGTTGTTGGGGGAGATAGGGTACTGACCTGGCCCATGACAGCTCATCCAAACTCCCTATGTGGCCCTCAGTCCCAAATAATTGCCCACCCCTGGTCTAGCTCTATCCTATTTGGAACCAACAGGTAGTTGAAGGCTGCTATTAAATCCTCTCTCAGTCTTTTCTTTTTCAGACTAAAATAGGCCGAGTTCCCTCAGCCTCTCCTCAAAAGTCGTGTGTCCCAGCCTCTTAACCATTTTCACCGCCTTCTGCTGGACTCTCTCCAATTTGTCCACAACCTTTCTGTAGTGGGAAGCTCAAAACTGGACACTGCTTCAGATGCTGCTCACCAGCACTGAATAGAGGAGAAGAATTACTTCCCTTGATCTGCTGGCCATGCTCCTACCAGTGCTGCCTAGTATGCTGTTAGCCTTCTTGGCAACAAGGGCACACTGTTGGCTCATATTCAGCTCACTGTCCATTGTAACCCCCAGGTCCTTTTTTGCAGGACTGCTGCTTAGCCACTGTTCCCAACCTGTAGCACTACATGGGATTGTTTTATCCTAAGTGTAGGATTTTGCATTTGTTTTTAACCTCATGAGATTTCTTTTGGTCTAACCCTCCAAGTTGTCTAAATCCTAGTCCAACATATCTACTACTTCCTCAAGCTCAAGGTCATCTGCAAACTAGCTGAGGGGACTCTCTACCCCATTTTCCAAGTCATTGGTGAAGATATAGAACAAAACTGGCCCCAGGAATGACACCTGGGGAACTCCACTTAATACAAGCTGCCAACTAGATATCAAGCTGTTGATTATTAACTTCTGATCCTGATGATCCAGCTAGTTTTCTATCCACCTTACAGTTCATTCATCCAACCTGTATGTCCTTAGCTTGCTTGTGAGAACATTGTGGGAGACTATATCAGAAGCCTTGCTAAACCCAAGATACATCACGTCCACTGCTCTACTTGGATCCATAGAGCCAGTATGTCATCAATCACAGAAGGCAGTCAGGTTGGTCAAGTATGACTTGCCCTTGGTGAATTTATGTTGCCTATTCCTAATCACCTTCTCCTCCAAGTGCTTAGAAATTAATTCCTTGAGGAACTACTCCATGATTTTTCCAGGAATTGAGTGAGATGAGACTGACCGGTCTGAAGTTCCCCAAAATCTCCTGTTTCCCTTTCTTAAAGATAGACACTATATTTGCCCTTTCCTGATCATCCAGGACCTCTCCCAATTGCCATGACTTTTCAAAGGTAATGGCCAGTGGCTCTGCAATCACATCAGCCAACTCCCTCAACACCTTTAGGTGCACAGCATCCGGCCCTATAAACTTGTACATGTCCAGCTTTTTCTAAAATAGTCCCTAACCTGTTCTTTCACCACTGTTGGCCACTCATTTCCTCCCCAAACTGTGCTGCCAGGTACAGTAGCCTGGGAGCTGACCTTGCCTGTGAAGACTGAGCTGAAAAAAGTACTTCAGCCTTTTCTGCATCATCTGTCTTCACCATCAGTAAGGGACCCACACTTTCCCTAATCTTCCTCTTGTTACTGACACACTTGTAGAAACTCTTCTTGTTACCCTTCATGTCCCTTGCTAGTTGCAACTCCCATTGTGCTTTGGTCTTCCTGATTTCATCCCTGCATGCCTGAGCAATACTCTTATACTTCTCCCTAGTTGTTTGTCCAAGTTTCCACTTCTTGTAAGCTTCCTTTTTGTGTTTTATCTTGCTGAAGAGTTCCCTGCTAAGCCAAGCTGGTCTTCTGCCATACTTGCTAGTCTTCCTGAGCATTGGGATGGTTCATTCCTCTGCCCTCAATAAAGTTTCTTTAAACTACAACCAAGCCTTCCTGGACTCCTTCCCCCACCACAGACTGGCCTCTCAGGGGATCCTGCCCATCAGTTCCTTAAGTGAGTCAAAGTCTGTTTTTCTGAAGTCCAGTCTACTCTTACAAAATAATTCCTCAGATATGGAAGAGAAAAATGATAAGTGAGCTCTCAAGAGTTAGTTGACCTATTTTTGTTTATGAGTGAAGATTTTGAGAACCACAAATACACATACTTATGGGCACGACATCCGGTCCTGTAGCTTATCTGGACATAAACAATGAGCACAATGTGACCCAGCACTTTAAAAACTAATAAGGACATAAGAAGGATGCAAAATGTAAAACAGAAATGTTTTACAACAGTTTCTGAGACTGTAGGTAATGGCCACTGCTCACGGCAAAGTTAATTATATTTAAGTTCTCTTACCTCAGTGGGTTGGGGTAATATTGCAACAGTCATTGTGCTGGTGTGAATACGTCCCTGCCTCTCTGTCTTTGGCACTCGCTGAACACGATGCACTCCTCCTTCAAACTTCAGGTTCTTGTATGCTTCAGGACCTGCTATGCTGGCTACTGCATGTCTCAAGCCACCTTAAAAGAAAAAGGGAAGACAGCCTTAAGCAGACAGTTCAGGATAGTTACATTAAAATATAAAAAAAAAAACAAACCTCTTTAGATGTGACCAACACTTGTTCTTGTATAAAAGTTAGGCATAATTAAGCAGGTGAAGCTATGCATGCACCCAATAATTAAAAAAACCCTCCTAATTAGGAAAACTGCATTCTCGGTACACCAAATATTTTAAAGCAGTGGTGTTCAACTGATCCAGTCCTCTAGACTTCCCATAAATCCAGAAATGTGGCAGTGGGGGAATAATGGCATCATTAATGGCTGTGGTTTCCAGAACCATAGCAATCAATACTGTCACCACTACCCAACTGCCAAAACTCCAAGCCTGTGGGAAACACTGGGGGGCTTGACGATGTGGCTTCACATGCCAGATTACACCAGTGCATGGGCTTATATCCACAGACTGATCATGGGTGCCAACCCCATGCCAGATCAGGCCTGCTGACTGACTCCATGCCACTCAGCTGGCCTGCAGCACCAGAAGGTTGAACACCTTTATTCTACAGCTCGTTTCCTTTCTGTGCACGTGTCTTGTACTAAGAAAGATCAAGAACACTAATTAGTCAGTGAGAAGGCAGGCAATTTCTCTTTCTACCCAAGTGTTCTATGACATTTACAAAGGATTATTTTATCTATCTTTGGTTTTAGTTAACTTTCTTTTACAGCACACACATATACGTACATATACATACATACATACACACAAATATGTCCAACTTTAATATTGTACTTTTTTTTCCACTTCCCCGTTCTCCTTTCTGGTTCTCCCCCTCTTCCTTTTTCTGCATCTTTCCTCATTGCCTTCTTTGGCATGGATGGGGGAAAAAGCTTTCTATTTCCTTTCCCATTACAATGGTCAATAATGAAATAGTTAACGCAGATACTGAAATGTCATGGCTAGAATTCTATGGTTTAGAATTAACATTCAACAGAGTAAAAGGGGTTCACACCTTTTAACACCATCATTTCAAGTTATCAAAGACTCCAAAAGACCTCACTGCATCAGTTTTTTTGGTTATCTTAGCAAGCATAATGAATAGCCATAATGTGAACATACCACCTGGCCCACCAAAAATATATAAATCACCAGATCCAGATTGAAGGCCAGGTGTTTAACATCCCTAATATAGGATTTTGCAAATGTTACTGTTCTCTGTAGACTTAATTTTATCTTGTAATATATTCAACACTTTTTTCAGTCTTATAAAAACAAAACAAAAATCCCTCACTCTTATATTTTTATTATCTTCTCCCTTACAATACCATCTAACCTATCTTGGTGATTTTTTAAAAGTTTTATCCCCACTTCCCAAGACAACAGGGGTTAAATAGACTGATACATTTACAGAATGCATAATTAAATAGAGCTTACTGCTTAAGAGACTTGCCAGGCTGTATGAACTGATTATGTTCACACTGAACATTGCAATCACCGCTAAACACTAATATAGCAGTTATCCAAGATATGGTTTTGATGTTAAATGAGGTCTGCCAAAGAAAAGTGGCATTTAAATTAACACCCTCAAACGGTAACAATTATTCCAGTCTTTAAATTGTATTACATGACCACCACCAGATGGAGGAAAGGGCCTCTTTGTTTTTTGTGGGTTTTTTTAATTGAAGTAGCCTCATTTAAGTACACAGATTTGCGCTTTACTAAAAACACTGTTAGAGAATTTGTTACTTTTATTGCTAAAATGAATATTAAAAAAGCTAAGTATACCCTACAGAGGTACATACAGAAGCAACAGATTGATATCATTATTAAAATATTATGAATAGCACTAGTGATGAGTCTTTATTATCTGACATGACAGTTTCTAGCAGCTTGTAGTAATTAATCTTTTTTGCCTTTACTGTCCCTGGGTAAGTCTATAGTGCAGTCAAAATGAAACTGAAACTTACGTAGACACACCCAATTTAACTTAAAATTAAACTAGCTTGCATGGATATCAATGACAATGCAGTCATTATAGCACTGACCTCAGTGTAACTGGCAAGAAAACCTGCCCAAGAAACTGAGTAAGCAGATAAGTCATCAGTTCACGCTAAGCCCCACACCAGTGCAGCTATATTCTTATCTGCAGCCAAGATAGCTCAGTAGTGGTACACAAATAGTCACACATTTGATGTACGTGTAGACATACACTTGGTTCCCAAAATATTTACATTTCCAAAACCAACATGTCAAAGCTATTCAGAATCAAAAAACATATTTGACATGTGGTGGGCCACTTGTGTGCAGTATATTAAAGTGCTATTTTTCAGTGCAGTAGCTGCTTATGTGGTAGCTCTTAAGAAGTGCACTTTTAAAGAGGAGTTAGCTATCCTGTACAAGCCACACTGTACACAAAAAAAATCAGTGTTGACTAGCTAGCGTGATGTGCATTTACAACCTAGTTTACTGCATACTAGCTTTGCCATGTAGAGAAACCTTCAGTTTAGGCTGAACTTCTCTGGTAAATTAGAAGTTTTAAAAAATATGTGCACAGAATACTCAGTTTGCAGGAAACTTATTTGCCTAGTTGCATCAATGGCATGCCTTTAAATGTCTTAGATGTGAGTGCTGCGCCCCTAAGATTGGACATTATTTAACTTGATTAAATTGGTCTTTTTCTCCTACATAATGCTGTTTTTATTTGCTTTGACTACCTGATGGAAGACTTTTAATCTAAGTCTCAAAAATGTAAGAACTAATTCATACAAATAACAACTGCATCTCTAGAAAAAAATACTGAAATATACAGAAACACTGAGTTAATTAAGTTCATTAACAACTATGAGAGACAATTTGTCAGCTCATAGAGGGAGAACTGAAGAAGACTAAACCTGCTTGTCTTTAATCTCACTGCATGTTTAACTTTACAACAGTTAGTAAAAAGGAAAGTAAACAAAAACAAAACAAAACAAAACATAAAATCTTATGTTTCTGCTACTTAATATGGAGACCCTGAAGTCTCCTGACATGCAGAAAGTGCATAGACAGTGAACAGTAGGGAGGTCAATAAATAAAATAATGTGCATGTTAATTAGAATGTTCCTGTTCATGGGCAAATGGAGAAGGACTTTCTTGACCTGTATGAATGCTGGAAGTAATAATTGCAGATCACATAATTTTGCAAATTACCTTCTGGACAAAGGAATTGATAGTGCATTACAAAAAGAACTTAAGCCTTATTAAGAGTTATTCCTACAGGAACGTGATAGTTAATCTCTGGAAACAACAGCAAGACTGTCATTTTTGTGCATTGTCACCCCAATTTTATTTTACTTTTTTTCTTACTGAAATAAAACATGCAAATCAGACCAGAAAATATAATGGGCGACATTTCAGATAAATCCTATGTATTTCTGCCTAGTCACTGACCATATTTTAGTTATACAGTACTCCTTTCTGTGCCAAGAAATCCAAAGCAAAGTCTAGATATTTAGCATAACACACACACACACACACACTCTGAAGGCAGACAAGGTTCTTTGGGTGAATCTGCTCTTTTATTAGAACCTTGTCTGCCTACGTTCTTAGACCAACCTAGACACAATGAAGGTATTATAAAAGCAAGAATATTAAATAGCTAAAGAACAACCGTGTCCAAATATATGAAAAATGACTCTGTCAGTGGACATCTTCACTGCAAACATTTTGTCTCAACTCTCACTGATTTTTCTAAAGGGATACCATTTGCACTGCGCGAAACAATTTTGTTACTTTATGATACATTTCAAATGACATTTTATTCATACACAGTAGAATAGCGCAAATCCTTGCTTATAGCTAAAAATTGCTTCAGTGAGATTTGCTACTTCTATCTAATTGTTAAGTACTTGTGGACAAAACAGCTAAAACTTCATTTGAAGTGCAATGTTTCTATTTAGACAGACAAGGTTCCTTGGGTGAATTTGATATCTTTTATTAGACCAACCCAAATAGTTGGAGAATAGTTATTAAGCAAGCTTTCGAGTTCAAAACCCCTTAGTCAGGCTAAGGAAGTTTCAGCAGTTGGTGTGTGCTCTTCCTGGATGGAATGAAAAGTAAAGAAGCCAGGGGCTGGGCTGGGGAGTCAGTTGCCAGGCAGATTATAATGTACATTTATACATTTCATATAGTTTCATAGTTGCTAGGGTCAGAAGCGACCTAAACAGATCATCTAGCCTGACCCCCTGCCACAGGCAGGAATGAATGCTGGGTTCACAAGA